GGCTTTGCTGCCCAGTGATCTCTGTTGAAACTACTCAACTTTGCAGTTGTAGCTCCTAAATAGCCATATACCAGAAGTAAAAGGATGGATATGTCTGTTCTTATAGTGTTTTATTTAAAAAATAATGTTTAGGGGCCTCCCCTGGTGGCGCAGCGGTTGAACGCTGGGTTGCAAGGCTGCCCACAGCCTTTGCAGCGCCAGTTCGATCCCCAGCCACTGGTGAGGGTCCTACAAAAAAAAAAAAAAAAAAGAATAATAAACCACCTTTTGGGCCTCCCCGGTGGCGCAGCAGTTGAGCGCTGGGTTGCGAAGCTGCCCGAAGCCTCTGCGGCGCTGGTTCGATCCCCGGCTGCTCCCCGGCCACCGGAGGAGGGTCCCATATGGCACTCCCCTCAGCAGTGTGCTTTGGTCCTGCCTGCTTTGCTCTCTGCTCTGGCTCTGGTGAATTCTCTCACCCTCCAGCGCTTCTGATTGTACCCAGTGCTTATATAAATAAATAAATAAATCTTTTTTTTAAAAAAAAAGTTTAGGATCTCCCTGGTAGCACAAGGGGTTAAGTCTCAGAACTATGAAGCAAAATCTGCAGCCAATGCAGCGTGAATTCGATCCCTGGACAGGGAGCTAACCCACATGACACAGTAGACCTCTCCTGTCTTGCCTGCTGCCCTCCTCAGCAGTGTATATCAGTCAATCTACCTGTTCTGTTCCTCACTCTGTCTCTGGTGAATCCTTTCACACCTTCTGCCCACCTCAGGCCTACACCCCACCTCTTGTATGCAGAAATAAACAAAATAAATCTTTAAAAAATAAATAAAAAATCATGTGTGGTTTGTGGGTTATAATTTTGCAATGCCTAGTTTGATATATCTTTCATAAGCCCTTCTAAACGTATGTGAGCATTTATATTTAAATATAAATGAAGTGTTCAGTATATATTATGCTGTATTTATAAAAACAGCCTGTTGTTATTTTTTCCACTCTGTAATAAATTGTGGACACATGGGCATATACACCAATGTATATAAATTAATCTGGTCTGTATACTGTTTTCACTTCATAAATTACTTAACAAGCAATTTGGTGGTGGATATTTGTAAAATATTTTACTACTATTAACACTACTAGTCATATCTTCTGAAGTATTTTTATGTTCTTAATTTTTAAATTACAAGTAATACAGTAATAGAATATGGGTTTTGAATTACATTATTCATTAGCTGGATACAGTTTAATATTTTTACGCCCTTAAGTCATGTTTGTTAATATATTTTGAGGCCATGTTACAAGTATATACACATGTAGAATTGTTATATCTTTCTGCTTCTTCCTCTGTCTTTGGTAGAGCTTTTTGTCATAAGTTAATCATTGCCTAAAAATGAGTTGCTTTCTTTTGATTAATGTCTGCTTGTATATTTTTGCATCATTTTACTATCAACCTTTCTACAGTCCTATGTTTTTAATATACTTTTTTCAGTAGAATATCATGTTTATTAATGTAGTACTCGTCTGAGATGCAATGTTTATCTGAAAATGTTTTTATTTCATCTTCGTTCTGAAAGGATGTATTTACTAGGTATGACATTCGTTGTTGATGTGTTCTTTTTCTGCATTTTGAAGATAGCATTTTTCAGTGTTTTGTTTCTGTTGAGTAGACATCTGTCAATCTAATTATGTTTCTGTCAAAAGGTAACTTCTTTCCGGTCTACTTTTAAAATGTTCTCTTTGGCTTTGGTTTTCAGCTTTTAATACTTTTGTACATAGATATGATTCTCTTATTTCTATCTTGTTTGGGATTCATGGCACTTCTTGAATCTATGGCCTGATGTTTTTCAAATTTGGAAACATCTTATCTACTTCTCTATTCCAAACATCTTATCTATTCCAAAGATGTTTGGAAACATCTTTCCTACTTCTCATGCTTTCATTTTAGAACTACAGTTACACATATGATAGCCTTCTCGTTATGTCTTTAGTGTGTCTCTCCCTTTTGTGTTTTTCATCCTTCTATCACTCCATAATGCATCCTGGTTATTCTTCTAACCCATCTTCCAACTCACTTAATGATCTCTTCAGCTATGATTTATCTGCTCTTTAATCTATCCATTGACTTCCTTGTTCTTGGTGCTGAGTTTTTGAGTTTTCAGTTGGTTCTTTATATTGGTCATGTTTGTTAGTATATTTTGCTTTATATTGTTTCTGATTGTCTATTAAATTTTCGATCTTGTCTTACTTTTTGAGCATATTAATTAAATTTGTTTTAAAATCTGAAGTCTCCAGTTTCCAGACTCTATTTGGAGAATATTTATTTTAGAGAATAGTCTCTAAATAGAAAAGCTATTTCTATTGCCTGTTATTTCTTCATAATTTTAGCCATGTTGTTCTGTTTCTTCATATGCCTGATAGCTTTTGATTGAGTGCCAGACATTGTATATGAAAATACTGGAAGCTAAGATGATGTATTTTTTTAATCCCAAAAGGGTTTACATCTGCTTGAGGCATGAGGTTAAGAGGATTGCCAGTCATAGTTTGAGTGAATTGAAGTTGTGCTTTACAGTATCAATTTTGTAATTATACTTTGGGTCCTAAACCAGAGCTTGATGATGCCACTTTTCCCTGATAACTCTGCTGTTTGTTTGATACTGCTCTTAATTTTTCTTTCTCACTTGCCTCATGAATCTATTTTAAATCTGTTTCAGGCCTCTCACCACTTCTCTGGAATCCACAGAAGCCTCCAAAAGAAAAGCTGTTCAAACCTCTTTGGATTTCAGTCTTAACTCAGACATTCATAATGTTTTTTTTTCCCTTCCTTTTCTAATTATTTTCAGCAAGTTCATTGGTCTGAATTGTCTAATCTGCCATTATCAGAAGCAGAAATTCCCTCAGATTAATTTTATTTCCTTCTGTAATATAGCTTCTTTTTCTAAAGGACTGTTGTTGGTTATAAAAATTTTGAATTCCCATACACAGAAAATATATTGTTTATTTGGAAATAGAATTGTGGTTAAAAATCGTTTTCCTCTAGTATGTTTCAACTATTGTTCCATTAGTTTCTTTTATCTAGATGTTTGACTTGAATCTGATTCTCATCCCTTTGTTAAGAAATCTTTTTTTTTCCTTTATAGTGTTCTTTTCAGATTTTCCACTCATCTTTAATAATCAAAAGTTTTTCTATAATGTGATGGGTAGTATTCTTTTTAAGTTATCCTTCTTGAGATCTTTTGATCTAAATTGCTTCTTTCTTTTCCACACAAGTTCTCTTTCTTGGTTCTCTCTCAGCTCTATTCAGATTACACTCTTCCTCTTTAGACACTTTCCTATATTTTCTCCATCTTGCAATTTCTGTCTCATCAAGAGCTTTCTTCTTGTTTCCTAGTGCAGTTGTTTGTAATATATCTTCTGTTATTTCTAGGGATTTGGTGAGAGAAGAGAGTATAGTTTGCTTTCTTGAATCTCACTTGTTCTTTTTATAACTTCATCCACCAGAATTGTCCTCTATAGTCAGGTTGTGCCAGGCTCTTTTCTGACTTGACCCTTAGCTCAACAAAGAGCAGTCACTAAGGGGTCTTCATGTCAGCTAACCTCATCATGTAAATTTCTGGTAAATAGATTTGTACATTAATTGCTACTGTCATTTTAAAACCTTTACTGAAGATCATTGAAGTAAAACTATATTAGAACAACTTTTTGTAATCCACTTTAATTTTAGAGAAACATGCAAGGATGTGTCAATCATTTAGCTGACTGGCAGCTGAAATCATGAGAGTAAGTACAGAGTGCCAGCTAATATGTTAGAAAGAATTAGCAATAGTAGCAAGGGAAAGTTATGAAAAGTTAGACTGTGAGAAAGGGAGCATAATTTGCTGAGTGGCAGGGATAGTGGGCTCTGTTAGAGAACACAAATTTTACACATTGCTTACAACATGTACATTGACATTTCCTTGCTTTGATGATAGTATGTGATGGTAGCCTCTCCATCCTATGATGGTGAGAGCTATGAGGAGACAAACGCTAGACCTGAGGCCTCAAGATAAACTCCCAGAAGAACCTCAGGAATCCTGCTATCCCAGCCCTGTAGGCACTCATTTGACAGCACTGCCTGTGCTCACCCCTCTCCCAGGATCTCATCCTGTCCTATCTTTCAGTCTTCCTTCCCCCTCCCCCAAATTAGCTTATTTTCACTTTTATAGAAACATACATAGATATGTTCAAAAATAAGTTTACAGAACTAACTTATTTTTAATGCAATCACTATCTAAATAGTCTCACTGAAATGTTTAAATAATGTTTATGAAATGGCCTCTAATATCAATTTAAAATTGATGCTTAGGCCTCTGTTAGTTTCAGTGATCTATAGAATGTGCATTACATGTAGTATTTGCTTTAATAACAACTTTGCACTGAACAAATTTGTTTCTAGGGCAAATTTGTTTCTAATCACAGTATTATTTTGATAAAGTGAATTTCTCTTTCTAGCATTTATTGTGTTTAGCTCAACATTAAATATCATCTTTAAATCTTAATTAACTTACTTTTTTTCCATTTAAAGTTTTTTCATAATTTGTCTTAAGTAAGCTTTAAAATTATTAAATTTAGAATTTTTAACTTCTACACGAAGCCACAAAATGTCTGTTATCCCATTTAACTTTACTTAGCAGTTTAAAATGAAAAACATTTTAATTTAATCCTTTTATGTTCTTTTAGGACTTAAAAATGAGGAAAAATGAAATTTTCAAACCAGTTTACACATCTAATGAGCATGTAATTCTATTTAAGCGTACAAATATATGTTTAAATCCTAGGTCCATAAGTTTGATATACTAGGGAAATCTTCATCCTGAAAAAAAAACAAGTAAACAGAATAATGCACACTTTAAACTTTTAAAATCTATTAATAAGAGCTAATTTCCTCAAGTGTTAAAAATATTTGCAACATAAAATACCCAAGTATTAAAACCATTCCACATGCTTTAGTAGAAACTTAAAATTTAAAACTTTTTTACCTGGAAATCTAAACTAAGTAGGATTTGCTTGGTGTCATTTAAGTCTCCAGCTGAAAATGAAACAAAACCAGAGCTTTCTTTAAAACAAAGAAAGAACAGAAGAGAATGCTGAAAATGTTAACTGACTTCTTAGTAAAATCTAAAAAACTGCTTCCCTTGGGGATAAATGCCTTTCAGTTCCTTTTTTGCTGAAAATCAGCCAAGAGAGTAACGAGGGAAAATGCTTACCAAGGGAAATATTTTTGCTAAATCCCAGGGAAAGTGGAAAGCTGCAGCAGGGAAAAAGCATTAGTCTGTAGACTGAGAAGGCAGAGTTAAAAACACAAAAATGGAAGTTGATTAAGAAATCTGTGGTTTTCAGACTGTTTGCCAAAAAAAATTTTAATGTTCCTACTTCCTGCATGTTATCACTTGAGCTTTGTTGGACCAGAGATGACAAGCTAGTGGACTGGGGTGCCTAATATTAGGCTCGTTGTTTAACTTAGTCTCACACACAACAAAACAGAAAGCTGTTCCATGTCAGTGTCACAGGAAATTATGTAACTTCTAACTTAGAACAATAACATGACAACTCAAGGGACTTGTGGGGGCCTCTGCTTACCGTCTGACTGGCAAATCAGCTGTCTGCTTTGGCTTCAGTTTCTTCATGTGCAGGTGCGCTGTTCAGAGATAGGTCAGGATTCAGCCCACCCTCCTGCTTATGGGGACTTTGGGTCAGTGTTCACTCCTCTTACTGAAGTGACTCAGGTACAGTTGGGTTCACAGCACCCACCTTTTTCCAGTTTTTCTACTACAAATGCAATGAATAACATCTTTGAAGTTCCTAACTCAGTGCCTCTCATAGGCTATATGATTATATAACACCTGTTTATAAATGCTTATAAATGTTCTACCTCAGGGGTCCAAATTATTTGACAGAGCTGTTTTTGTTTTCCCGAAATCCTAAAATGACCTGGACAGATCAAATCAAGATGATGGACCAAGCACATGGGCCACCCAGATACCTAAAAATAACAAAAGCTATATTTGTTTTTCAAAGTGTAACACTGTACTGCAAACTAATTTGTGTTAGAGACAAGAAATTTTGAGAAATTCCTTTAGGACTGAAGGCACGTAGGCTCCGACTGACAGGAGATACCACAACCCAAAACATGTGTGGGAGAGGATAACTCTGTGGGTGTTCCAGGGTTATAAATTACAGCCCCTGGGAATGGTAAGGTTCCTTGGGAAACTGTACTGGAGAGTAATTGAGCAGATAGCGCCAATTCTCCTGATGTGTCCATGACCTGTTCTGGGCAGTAGGCATTTGCCCTGTTTTGAACCCATGTTCTCATTCACTTGGCCTTACAGGGCTGGTGAACAGGGTGGACCCATAATCAGAATCCAAGCTAGCTACCAGTCCAACTGGAAGCACAAAGTTTGGCCATGGCTATCCACAGCTAACAATTTAAGTTCAATGTTTTAATCTTGTCCATCCTGTACATGAGAGAAATCCAGGATTACTGGAAGTTTCTATCATCCCAAAATACATATTCACAATGAGAAGCTTTGAGGATTAAATCCACAGTAAAATGCTACTGTGCACCTACTATAACAGAAAAAATTCAAAACATTGACAACACCAAATGCTGGCAAGAATGGAGCAACAGAAATGCTAATTCTTAGCTGATGGGAATACAAAATGGTACAGACATTGTGAAAGACAGTTTGGCAGTCTTACTAACTAAACATCCTACAAACTAAACTCTTATCCTACAATCCAGCAATCATGCTCCTTGTTATTTACTCAAATGTTTTAAAAAATTAAATCCACGCAAAAGCGTGCACATAGATATTTATATCAGCTTAATCCATAATTGCCAAAAATTGGAAGTAGTCAAGATGCCCTTTAGCAGATGAAAGAATAAACAAACTGTGGTCCATTGAGTTGATGAAATATTATTGAGCACCAAAAAGAAATGAGCTCTCAAGCTATAAAAAGACAGGAAGGTGGGCCTCCCCGGTGGCGCAGCGGTTGAGCGCTGGGTTGCGAAGCCTCTGCGGCCTCTGCGGCGCTGGTTCGATCCCCGGCTGCTCCCCAGCCACTGCAGGAGGGTCCCACGTGGCGCGCAGACCTCTCCTGCCACCCGCTGCTCCCCTCAGCAGTGTACTTCGGTCCTTCTGCCTGCTCTGCTCCCCGCTCTGGCTCTGGTGAATTCTCTCACCCTCCTGCGCTTCTGACTGTACCCAGTGCATGTATAAACAAACAAACAAATAAATAAATAAATAAAAATTCATGTCTCTTTAAAAAAAAAAAAAAGACAGGAAGGAACATTAAATACTTATCACCAAATAAAAGAAACTAATCTGAAAAGTCTCTGGTTCGGAATCCAACTGCAGCATTTCAGGCAACACTGTAAAGACAGGAGAAAAGTTAATGTTTAGGGGAAGAGGAATTGGAGAGATGAATAGGCAAAGAGAGGATTTTCAGGGCAGTGAAAATACTCTGTATGATAATGGTAGGTATATGTCATTATACATTTATCAAACCTATAGGATGTACAACATCAAGCATCAACTCTAATGTAGACTGTGGACTTTGGGTGATGAAGTGTACCAGTTGTAACAAATGTACCATTTGGTGGGAGCTGCTGATAGCTGTTGGGTGATGTGCATATGTGGAAGCAAAAACTACATGGGAAATCTCTTCCTTCCCCTCAATTTTACTGTGAATCTGAAACTGCTCTTTTAAAAAAAAAAGTCATTAAAGAAATGTGTCCTGATATATAATACATACATTGTTTGAGGGGAGAGAGGAAATGTTGGTGGCATGATGTTGAACTCACTGTATGGAGCAAACAAAAGGTCTTACTTTCTTTGAAGGCAGCTTTACAATAGCTACACTCTGTCCCATCATTTCACTTCTAGGAATCCATGTTCATAGAAACATATCTTTCTGTGTAAAGTGCGCCTGTGGGAAAGTACTTTGAAGCATGTAATCATGAAAGAAGGAGAGAACCCAACTGTGTATTGATAGGGAGCAGGGGCTGTCATAAAGCATGCAAAATTGTCCACAATATATAGCAAGGAGAAAAAAGAAATTTCAAACAGTACATGGCTATTATTTTACCTCCATTAATGTTAAACTTTAGCACCTTACTATAGAACAAATTGGTAGAAACAGGCCACAAGTTTTTCATATTTGTCATCTCTGGGTGACTGAATTAAGGGGAACTTCCTATAATTCCTTATTCTTTTTTTTTTTAAGATTTATTTTTTTTATATTCCCCATACCATTGCACCCCCCCTTATTTTGACATAATTCCTTATTCTTATAATGTTTTTAGCTTTTTACAACCAGATCAGAAAAAATTTTTAACTTTTAAGGAGAATGTTAAACAATTATAAAAAGAAGTAACTTGAAGTAGTAGCACAGGGAAGTAGCAGTGGTGGGCATGCCAGGACAGACAAAACTACAAAAAAACAGACTAGAGTTTCTGAGGTCTCTGCCCTAAAATTTTGTGGTTAATGGACTGTTACATGAGTCCTTCTGCAGAAACTATGTAACCACAGTAGTACATGGAAAATGCTGGTATTGGAGTTCTCCTCCCCCTTATTATTGCATTCCCAACTATGGCCTGAACTTGGCTCTGACAGCCACCCTCAGAATTTGGTGCTGGTCACCTAAAAGTATGAGTTGGTCCTTCAGCATCCTGGGCACAGGGACAGTCAGGGTGAGTTCCAAGCCCAGAAATTATGTTTAAGGAATGTCTTCTTTTCAGTATCTTCATCTCTCTGGAGCAGAGAGGCAACTAGTTTTTCTTTTAAGATGTAGTTGTTTTCCATAAGACAACATAAAAGAGAGTAATGCCCAGTAAAGCTAAAATTTGAAAGTTTTAAGTAGGGCCACTCTTAGAAATAGAGTAGGGCCACTCATGTTTCAGGCTTCTCTTTGTCTTGTCCTTATTCCATAGTCAGTGCTTTTTCATCACATTCCCAGTGAGTGTGCACTTGCTGCATTTACTTTTATTGAACTTGCCCACCGAAGGGAATATTCACATCGAGTCGAGCGCTGGTGTGCTCGCGTGACACAGTAGAGTCAGCCCTAACCCTGTTGGTGGGCATTTGGAATAGCTCCCTTCCCTCTCAAATAGAATGTGCTTTTGGGGTTTCTATATTGCTTTCCAAAAATTTTCTAGTAATATATACTCCCATCAGAAATATATAAGACACCCATTTCCTTGCCACTTTATTTTTTAAATGATTTTCATATGTTTAATAAGTACTACATACAAGTGGCATAAATTTTTCAGATACATAGTTTGAAACTTTCAGTTTTCTATGTCCGGTACTGGCAGTTTGGGTGATTCCACCAATCTTTTCATTAGAGACAACTGGAAAAGTTCTGTCACTATATAAAAATGTTTTTAAATCATCAATGAAGTTTCAAAAAAAAAGGGAAAAAAAGTCCATGAAGAATCACTGGGCTTAGATCTAAGAAAACTATGCCTTTTGCCTGAGGATTGTTTGCCAGAAATATGAAAGAGCAAAAATATCAATGAAACAGAAAACAAATATACAGCAGACAAAAATCAACAAAACTGATAAAATCAGTAGCAAGACTGATGCAGGGGGAAGGGAGAGGAAGCGTGGATAGATGAGGACTAGGAAAACTGCTGTCACTGCATATTTTAAAAACATTTAAAGGAAAATTAGAGGATGTTATGAATAACTTATGCTAGCTAGTTTAGATGATATGGACAATTCCTAGAAAAATGTCACTTAATAAAACTGTCAGAAGAAAAGACAAAAAACCTAAGTTGTCTATAACTTAAGGGAACTGAATTTATCATTTCAAATCTTTCTACAAAGAATACCACAAGCATGTATTATGCATCAACAAATTCTGCCAGTTTTCAAGACCAGCATAGTCATACCATAACCTGATAAGGACCTTACAAGAAAGGTAAATTACAAATCAGTCTCACTTCTAGACATAGATTCAAAGAAACTAAAATATTAACAAGCCAAATCTAACAAGATATAAATAGGATAATATGTCATGACTTCATTGGGTTTATTTAGGAAGTAACTGGTTGATTTAAGGGTAAAATCCAAATATTATATATTTAAAGAAGGAAAAGAAAAAGCTTGTACCATACTAGATAAAGAAGTCCTTAGTTTCTAAGTTTCTTAAAAAAAAAAACCACACAACCCCAAAACAATGTATTTCCATTCCTAACTATATACACAAGAGAAATAGAAATGTTTATCCACATAAAAATTTGTACATGCACTTTGAACTTCTTAGCTGCACTATTCATAACAGTCAAAATATGAAAGCA